AGAAATAGTTGTAATCAAGCCTCAACTAAAAACCTTCATTTAGGCATTTTCTTTTGGACACTAACGAGTGTTTGCACAGTTTTTTTCTCCTTATATTTTGTGTTTGTTATTAAATAAACTTAAAGTTTCGCTTTCTAATTAATTGCCAAAAGCTGCGACGCCTACACAAAAGTGTCGGCGAGTCTGTAAAAATATTTTCCCTTTTTAATTTTCGCCAATTAAATGGCCGTACAAAATATTATATGTATATATGAAAGAAAAAAGAGATGATTACATTGCAAAGGCCAGAGAAAAGAGCCAAGACGGAAGTTAAAAAAAAAGAGATATAAAAAAATTCTGTGAAAGGTGCAAAAATATGTAAGGGCAAAATATGAAATGAAAAAAAATGAACAAAAAAGCTGTGCAAATAACATTAGAAAAGGCAATGAAGACGAAAGTTGTTGCGCAAATCAAATTAAAATAAAATGCCAAAAATTACAAGTGAAATAAGAGTGCAATTAGTTAGAGCCAACAACTGCTCAGAGCCATGGGCAAAAGTTTCGCCCATTTGCCCGATTGAATAACATTTGCGTAATTAATTTTAAAGCAAATTAAATCATATGTCTACAGCCAAACTGGGCACTCGTAGTCGCACCCTTTCCGGGCCATTGACATGTGATAATCGCCGATTTGTTGTTTGCTAAAACGGCCAAACGGGAATGTTGGCTGCGGCTCAATTCGAAGCTCGTTATGTTTGCATTTCGTTAACGTGTCATACATTACTTAGTTAACAATTATTGTTAAACTATGTGTGTGTGTGTGATATTTGCACTTGCTGCTGCTGCTCACTTTCATTTCTAATGCGCTGTAGTTTCTTTTCTTGTTATGCCCTAGCTCAAGTTATTACAACTTTCACATGATGTTTGCAACAAATCAACTAAAGAATTTGCAATAGTTTTTTAAGTTTATTTTTTTCCATTTAAACTGGCTTGAGACAGTTGTATTACTCTGCAAATTGAACTTGAAATAGAAAAATGAGGGAAAACCACTCAACTTAACATTCAAAATATGTATCAGCTGTTAATATGTTGTGCGCTCGTTTAGCAGAAGAAGAAACAAATTCAAAATTTCTCAAGAAATTTGTTAGTACAAAAATATAAGCTCATACCTAAAACGCAGATATTTTCTGTACTACGTCCAAAACTAACATCTAGAGTATTTTAGCCTTCGTTCTTCACACAGTTTTTGTAACTTCTAGTATTTTGTTTACTTAACGCTTGTGTTGAAAATAAACATTTACCGCTGCCACTTGCTAAAAGTGAAATTATTGTTGTTTTATTTATATATCGCACATCACATATATAGATATATATATATATATACATATAAGCTTGCTCACTGAGTCAATGGCACACCATATTATAACGCTTGCCCCTGTTACAGTGCTGCACTTTTACACAAGATCAACAGGCGGCTACTTACTGGCTTCAAAAATGGAAAGTAGAGTTCAAAGATGGATAATGATGATTTGGCTGTCGGATCATCAAATTGGCTCGCAAAATATATGTTGGCTCAATTAAGTTGGCAATTAATCACAAGGGCGTCGCCAGCTCCAAAAATGATTAATTAGCCTAGACATTGGCCAAAGATTCCCAACAACAATATATATATATATATATATATATATTTTTAAAGCATTCATTCAACTCGCTTGAACTTTCGTTTTCAACACATTAATTTGGCAGACCTGATCAAATGTAAAAAACTGAAGGAATAGCTGTATAAAAAAAAAAACAAAATAAGCAGGCGGTGTTTCTTGCTGTTAACAACTTGTACGATTTGGCCCCTGGGTAGAGTCTATATCATATATACCTTATCTCTAATATCTCACGTTTTACTTCTCTATTTCTATTTTTTTGCCTAGCTAGCAATTGATTATTTCAACGCCTTTAAAAGATAAAAGGCCACGCCCACTCGCTTAGCATCGCCTTTCACGCAATGATTGGCATTATCTGAGGAATTCAAATTCACACACTTGTCGCCAATTATGCCAATGTTATTATCGATCTGTCGTGTCTTGGCTACCCACAAAATTGTTTGCACAAAACAAAACCAATAAATAATAAAGAGAAAAAGAAATAAATGAAACTTCATTACTGATGATGGATCATCAGCTACTAGATGTGAGCTCAAGTTGCCAAAATATAATTTTATTCATTGGAATTTTCCATTGTCTATTTAAAGGCAAAATAAATTAAGCATTTAGCAGAAGAAAGCATGAAAAATGCAATTTAATAATATTTATTAATCTTTAAGGAATCACAATCGATTGAGACCATGTAAACTTGGGTCAATCAAGCACTGGGAATCAGTTTAAATTCGATATGGCTAGATTATTTCATCATTTTTTAAGAATTTCGAAGGGGAATAAAAAAAAGTATGTGTATAAAAGTATTACTTTAAAACAGTCTAAGAAATATATTTTAGAGCAAAGTAAATTTTCTAAAAATTTTAAAATCATTTAGAAATTTTTTCCGAATGATACTACTGGAAACAAATAAGTAAGCATAGCACCCTAATAAAGAATCAGTTAAATAACAATTGTTTCCTATAGGAAGCTCTTGTTTTCAATGATGACTTTAAGCATGCTTAATCTGCATGCCTGTCATAGCTAAATTATGCAAAAAGTTTATCAATAAATCCTTCCATCGACGAGCATTCATATCTCACTCTTCTCAAAAAATTTCCTATGCTATAAATCTATCAGCTTCAGCTATAACTGCATTATCTTTTATATATTATACAAACAAAAAAAGGCAATTTGAAAATTCATCTAACTGCTTTCATTAGCAACATAAACAAGTTTGAAAAGTTGTTAAGCATAATTAAAACTCAAATCCCCGAATTTATGTATTCGATTTGTTTTAAATCAAAGAAATTTGGCTCATTCATTGAATCGAATGGGTCGTCGAATGCTTATCAAAATGCTATTTGTTTATTTCCCTCAGCTACTTTCGATTATATAACCCATGCAGCCAGCGGGCACTACAAAGCGAAGAATCGCCACAGCTAACTAAATCATTGACTGCTTCGACTAAATTGTGACTCGATTCGTTTGTGATTTAATTTTTGTATTTTGGCACCTTCTTGGCTTGTTTTGTCTCTTTTTAGAGAAAGCTGACTTTGTTTTTAACATTTAAGCGACGCGTCGTTCAATGCGCTTTGGATAGTAAAAATCATTTAATTATAATCAGTCATCTATGCTGGGAGTAGACTGTGTGTCGTAACAGTTGCGCCTGAGCAGCCTGGGAACACCGCGCAGAGAGGTATGAAAGTAACGGAAGACGTAGACGAAACGTTCTGACCGAGCGGATCAAGATAATGTGTGGCTATGCGCCGCCCACGTGCCCGGCATGGCCAAAATGGCAAAGTCAAAAGCCGTAATGTTTTCCATTTCAATGGCTAACGAGCCGCTGCCTGACTGACCGCAGAGAGCCAGCCAAAAAGAAAACAATCACAAAGCGGCAACGGCAACAACGACAATAACGAAAGTGAAATTCTACACAAAGATCGTGGCGTAGCTTCACCACGCTTGACCAGCCAAGTGCCCGGCCCTGGCACCGGCTCAGCTTGACTATGTTAATGCCTATTTTTTTTTAATTTTTTTTTTTTTTTTTTTACTATGCCAGGCCGCAGCAGCAACTGCAACGACGTGTTCAAAGACGTTGACAAACTAAGCTCAGTGAAATTTGGGTCAAGGAAATGCCAAACGACAGGTTAGAGTCCCACACACACATATATACAGACACACACACACACGCACTGTCGATGACAGTTATTGCTAGGCTTGTTAGCAATTTTGAATACACTAATTGCCAAGTTTTTGTCTTGAGTCTTTTGTTATTAGCCTCGAACGGATCCAGCAGCAGGCCAATAACCCTGCTTAGCATATGCAACGCCTCAAATATAGTAGCAAAATATCGCAGCACGTAAATCGTGTGTCCAGGCCAGAGCGAAAGCTGCAAGCTCAAAAGAAAATCTATAGCTGTCAACACGGCTGTCAAATTGCAATTATGTGACGCCGTCTGCAACAGTGAGTTAACAGCAAACGGCAGCCGCAGCAGCAGTAGCATATTTCAAGCTGTTAACCGAGCAGCAGCTGTGCAGCTCTTAACCGCAAGCGTTGGCTGTAAACCGTTTCAGTTGAGTTTCAAACGCGCACGCGTGCAGACGTTGCCAGAGTACACAGACACTGACACACACACACACAAATACCTAGCGTACACTCGCACACACAGAGAAAGCACGCTAACAGTAATATATAGCAACCGAATCAGTAGCCCAAGTAGAAACCAAAATAGAAATGTTTACCATTTAAGCGACTCGCGTCTCAAACAAAATACTCGCACGTACACGCGCTCTCCAACAAATCTCGCTCTCTGCCTCTCTCTCTCTCTCACTGTTGGCTCTCTTGCGTTAAAGTGAAAGTTGTGCCACACAAAAGTGGCAAAGGTCCGTTATCTGTTCGGCCACCGCTGGCAAACGGGCAACGCTGACAATCAGACACACGCGGAACGTTCAGTTGACCGGACGCTTGGCGCTTCGACTAGAGCCTCGCTGTTAGCAACTGTTCAACAATTCGCCAATCAATCAATTAATTAAACTATATAAACAACAGTGCGCCACAACGAAACTTAACTAATTCAATGTGCTAACGTTTTTTGATTCAATCAAGAAAAAAGAAGAAGAAATTATAATAAGAAATTTATTCTAAAGCCACTAAGCTCGTGCATAAAACACGTTCGTTGCCCAAGTCTTTTGTTTTGCAGTAGCGGTACATTTGCATGTGTGTAGCTGCGTGTGTTCGTGTGTATGTTTTCAATTACAACATACAACAGTCGCTGTTAGATTTTCGCACTCGTCGACATTAAAATTAAGAAAAAACCTTTAACTAAGTGGAAATTTTGCTGGCAGACAAAGCGTCTAGCCGGAATAGTGTCCAGCGACGGACCAAAGCAGACATGTTTAAGTGGGTTATGCCGGCGTTAGCGTCGCGCACAAACGCGACTACAATAGCAGTGGCAGCAAGAACAACAAGAACTACAACAGCGACGTCAACAGCAACAGCAACAACAACAACAGCAATAACAAAACGGCAACTACTTTCCAACGCTTTAACAACTTTAATAATAATAGGCGCATTATTTGTGCAGACAACAAGTGGATTTAGATCAACAATTGAAACGAACGGCGGTAAGCATTTATGTATAGATATATAGCATATTATATATAGGTGTATGGTACATCCATCTGTACTGAAAGTTGACAATAGAAAAGTTTGCGAGAATTTTTTTTCTTTGAACTAAACAATTGAATGAAAATCAATTTGGCAAATGGCACACAATTCTCGATGAGACAAATCGAAGCGTGTCACTTCGACACTTTGAAGGCGAGTGAAAGCACAAGCTGGCAGGCAACACTAGCAACAACAACAGCAGTCGACGTTTTGCTGCTGGTCTTGACAATGGCCAAAAACGAAAAGCGCAAAAAAAGAAGCTAAACTGTGCCTTTGTGTCAATTCCAGATGAAAAACTTTTGGCACAGAAAATGACTTTCCATATATGAACAGACACACACACATGCTCGCACTCACACACTCATGCACTATGTGAAGAAGCGCAACGCACTTGTCATTTATTTGGTTCATTTTATGCTACATTACGAATACAATTTTTTTTTATTTGCCATTTTGAACTATTCAAACAAGCAGAGCGGCGACTGGCTGTGGCTGTGGCTGTGGCTGGGCACATGAGACGCATCTCTGTGTCACACACACTTTCTTATGACAGTTTTTTATTTGTAGCGAGTCGCTTTCGTGTTAATTGCTGCCGATTTAAAAAGTGAAACAAATTTCTAAAGTGTCAGGTTATTAGCTGGAATCGAAGGCACTGGCACAAGCTATTGAGTTTGACATTTAAGCTGTGCTGAATTCGCTGAAAGCAACGTAAACAAACAAAAGACTTAAGCGACGAACTACAGCACTTGACTTGTAGAAGTGTGCCTACAATTATAATATGTGGCACAATTGGCTGTTAATCAAGTGGAGCTAGCTGCGCTACAATTATGCAAAATTATGTTAATCTAGCAAAAGACTTCCTGAGTAAAAATTATGTTAATATGGCGAAAGACTTCCTGAGTGGAACAGCCGAGTTGATAATTAAATTGTGAGTGTTGATTAGAATTGAGATAAAAGCAAGCGATTGTTGGTTGGCAGACACAGTTGGAGTTCTGGGACGAATAATGACTGCTTGACCGACAAATACAATCCTATCAGGTGCCGCACTTAATACATTTAATTTGTTAACTACATTCCCTATGTCAGTTTAATCAAATAGTAATCTGATCTGATAGATTCTTATGTATGGCTGGCTTTAAGATTCTTTCGTAAGAATTACTATTTATGAAACATGCAAATTAGAATACATTTCATAATGAACAATAACAATAGAAATTAGGCAAGCTTATATGGTACATATTGTAGCAGACATAGACGTATACGAAATATTTAGGCTCTCAAATAATATAGCAAAATATTTAAAAATTAGAAAAAAAAATAAAAAAGATAACAACTTGTAATCATATATAAATTTATATATTTCTATAAATTATAAATTCAAATATTTAAATATATATACATTATTACAACATTATATAAATAATTATTATATAAATTGCATTAAGCTTAGTGTACTTCAAGCAATTCTTAGGTTATTAAACTCTGCGCCCTATGGCAAAGTTTGCACACAGCTGAAGTTTGTTTATGCAGCTAACGTTGTGAAAACTGCTAGCCAAACACAAACACACACATCATACACGCACACATATACACACCCTGAGATGCTATGATCAAATGATCAAATCACTGAACAAACACTTTTGTAGGTTGCCATAGCTAGAAAAGAAAACCCAATGCTTCCGTTTTGCGGGACAAACTTTGCTGCGTCAGGTCAGAGACAGCGAATGCCAATCATTCACACAATCTATCATTAACAACAGATGTGTGTGCGCATGAGTGTGTGTGTGTGCTGCATAAAACAATTTTCAATTTCTATTCAATTTTTATTTGTACAGAAGAAAAAACCCACGGCTCACTGTCCGAGCTGATTGCGCGTGCGAAATGAAAATGTCTTGGCCAGTAGCCACAGCAACAACAACAACAATAACAACAACAACAACAACTCTAGCAACAACAATGGCAAATTTTGTACAGGTTCTGATCGCAACGTGTGCCAGTTAGCGTCTGTGCACTTGTCGGCCTGCAGTTGACGTTGAGCTTGCGGTAATTTGCGACTCACTCCACACACACACACATACACGGAGAGCTACTGCCTGGAGGCAGGAAGCTGCAAGACTTTGCCAAGATTTTGCAGACTGCAGTCTAAAAGGCAGCACAAGTTGATATTGTTGTTGGCAGCAGCAGCAGTCAATCAGTCAGTTAGTCAGTTGCCTCAGCTGCTCGTCGCTCTGGCATCGATATAATTTTCGAGATCACGTTTTTACCGCTGCACGGTCAAATGCTCTACATAAGCAAATGCCATCTCAGTCTGGCTATCTTTCTCTCCCTCTGTTTTTCTTGCTCTTGGCACTTCATTGTGCTTAAAAATCAATTCATAATGCCTTTTAGGCTTTGCTTAAGCACTTTTTGCCTTAATTTGATTTTTCCGTTTTTTTATTTAATAATTTTTTAAATTGCGCATACGCAAAGTTGTTTAATTTCATATTTCATTTTGCAATTAATGTGAAAGCGACATTTTTTATTTGGTTTTTTTTTTAGTTTTGACTTTCTTTCAAACATTTTTCCCACAAACGTTTACCACATCACATAAAACTTAACTCAATCACATTAAAAAAAAACAACAACAATAAAAACTGTGACACATCATCAACATCAAGTGCCCAGGCCCGTGTCCAAGAAGCATTTCACCTAAGTCACATAAAACCAGAAAGCAAAAGAAGCTCACACCACTCGTTTATCATATGGCAATTCAGTTGCACTTCCTATGCCAGCGAGTAGCTGGCAAACTATTAGTGCATGGCTATCAAAGAGCGTCTAAATAGTCATACGTACTCATACGTGCTCATACGTACTCATTCGCGCTCGTTCACTCAGTCACTCAGACCACTCATTTGTGCCCATTCGGAGTCATTTGCTGGCTACTTAGTTTATCTTTTAAGCTCATCAAGCTCTCATTGTTGGCCTGGAGTTTTCCTTTTTGTAATTGACAAATTTATCGACTTGTCAACGGGGGCTTTTGTTACGGCTGCATCTAACAGGAAATACATAGCAAAATGTCGAATCTGTATTTGTGTTTTGACATGTTTGGCGGTGAAAGTGAAATGCTCTTAACTAACGATTGGCTGGCTTCACTTCTTCTCTCTATTGTTGTTGTTGTTGTTGTTGCTGTTGTTGTTGGTAGTTACTTCCGTTGTTTGAGTCGACCACATATTCTTTTTACTCTTTTTTTTCGCATGATATTTGCATAGACATTAAATGTTTGTCGTTATAAACCTCTTTCCGTGTGTGTGCATCCATAAAAAAAATATCTTTTGTTTGTTTCCGCCTCTCCCTCTCTCTCTCTCTCTTTCTTGTGTACATTGCCTATCGATTGCTATTGGTTATCGATTGGAAATGAGGCTATTGCCAAAAATGATGTCATTTATTGCGGCCGACAACTTTCACTGCGCGACGCACAACGATCTTCTTCATTTTAGTTTAGCTTTTTGCGCTCATCTTGCATATTTGATTTGATGTTCAAGCTCACTTTATGCATATTGACATAAAAGCTTAGGATCGTTTTCCCAAGATCTCATCTCTTGCAACTTGCCATTGCAGGAGAGAGAGAGAGGGGGAGAAAACCTTTTGCACAGCCATCCTCTACCTGCTGCGATCCACGTCAAACTTTTCACTTAACCAAACAAGATTTCATTGTGGAAAAAACAAAAAAAAAACAATACAAGAAAAAATAATTATCATTCACAAAGTTCTTATCATTCGAATGACCAAGCAGAAAATTACAAATATAATAATAAAATAAAAGTCGTAATGAAAACAAAACGGAATTCATGTACTTACCCACTGTGCACTGAACAATAAAGCAGGGCAGCTAAACGAAACTGGCTCAAAGAGCAACACCAAAAACAACAACAACATCCATACGTTGATATCTTTTCATAACTACAGCTGTGTGCGTGTGCCTCTGTGTGTGCGTGTGTGTGGTGCTGCTTGACCAAAGGCCCGGCCGGCCCGCTTTTGGTGTCGCTGTGCAACCTGTTCGAGTAGCAGAACGCACTCGGTTCGCGGTTGACACTGCGATTACCTTACAAAGTGCTGCCTGCGTGAGAGAAAAGAGAAACACACACAAATTTCAAAGAGAATGCAAAAAGAAATATATATATTGAAATACATACACACAGAAGTCGAGCACTTTCAGCTTGACTCTGAATTCACACACACTTTCACACTTTAGCATTAGGCAATTACATTAAACACGCTTTAGTCTCACAAATAACATGATTTTATACCATTCGCTCACTTTAAACTAAGTTAACACGCACTTTTTAATCTTTCACTTCACACGCGACAAATTTGGCAACTTTTTTAATTACATATGACCGGCTTAAGCTTATCGATAGGCGATCTCAGCTCGATAATTGCATTGCACGCATCAGTGAACTAGTTCAAATGCGTGCATGACTAAATTTGATATACATAATTTGGTATTTAATTTGCTTGCAAAATACCAGTTGCAGCTGCTCTCTGTGCAAGCTCAATTGAGTTATTAGTAGTCGATAGTCGTGTCACGCTGTAAATTTGGCGCATCACTGCTTTTCGTTTGCCTGTTTTATAATACAGGTTTTGCAAAAAAAATACAACAAACAAGCAATTTCCCATTAGAATTGCATGCGTAAAATACGTTCAACTATGTATGAAGCAGAGAGAGGTTTGTGTGCGTGCGTGTGTGTGTGTATGGCAACTGTCAGCAGTGGTAGGCACTTGCACATTCACTGTTACATTACCGGTCTTTTCGGTCGCCGCATTTTATTTGGGTCACTGTTACAATTTACACACGGGCTACGGGGGAGGCGTGGCTGGTGAAGGCGACGAAGCTGCTGCCAATGCGAAGGCTGTGCCAATTCAAGCAGCGACGCCGACGCGCGAGCATCTGCATAGCTGGGCTTGTATGCATGTGAAC